TCCCGAGTTTACGACAAGCTATTAACTTTAATAGACTAAGCAATAAACATACGACAAATGAAGACATCCAGCAAGAAACTTCCACCCTTGCATAATTAGTTCTGAAGCCTTTTTAACTGGATTACTACAGAAAGTTTTCGTGCTGCAGATGAGAACAGCTTCAGAAACGGCAAACGTGAGTGGTAAGGATAATTTTTCACTACTAATTTCAACAAGAACTGTTATCGCCCAATTTACATCAAGTGCTTTAACTCATATGTTGACATTATCTAATAATCTATTTATATGCATTATTTCCACTGGTAAAGTACCACGCTACCTTAAACGTATCAGATATACGCCAAATCTAAAACTCAGGCAGGCATCGGCGAAATGTTAGCAAATTGCTGACATGTAACTTTTAGACTATTTCAAACAGAACTGGACGGTATGCATATGATCTATCTGCATACAAACTTTCACAAGCCTAGCTCCAACGGTTTATTAGTAATCGTCATCAAACAGAAAGCTAAATTGTCTGTGGCCAACAGACTGTCCCTTTAAATCACACAATAATAATCTTTAGATAATCTGCACATTATTTATTTTATATTTATTTAGTGTTCTGTCTGATGACAGGTCCATATGAACAGGATCCTTCCGTCCTTTTCTCGGACTGGGACCTGTTCATATACGTTCTTGGCAGATGATCCAGAAGTGGTTTGCCATTGCCTTCTTCTGTGTGTGAATGGAGTAATTGTTAGGATGCCACGGAGAAACCGGGGAAGCCCCCGGAGGAAAACTCCGTGTTGCCTAGACCACGGCCTTGCCCAACACAAGTTATAAATTCGGGCACCGCCGGGAATCGAACCCGAGACCCCAGGATTACAAGGCCAGCGTTAGTATTTAGAACATGTAATTATTATCATAGAATTTCTGAACTCTATATTGTGTCGCTAATATACTCCATATACCTTAAAAAGTTAGCAAAGTTATCTTTTAAATATCCACTTACTGTAGAATGGGAAAGAAAGTTAAGTTGCCTCACTAGTCGCCTGATATTCGTACCGAGTTTCGTGAAAATTAGTGTGTTCGAACGTAACGTTATTAAGGTGGGGGGACACACGTGCATGAAGATACCACAGTCGTAACTCAAAACATCGGCGTTATATAGGCCTATCGTTATGGCCGTTCAGAAGAAAGAACAGAGCCCCAAATGCACGTACAATATCCGCGAAGATGTGTGAAAATTATGAAAACACATGACAATTTTACACAGACTAATATTTGCTACCACGAGCATGTCAGCCAGTGCATATAAATACACAGAGCTTAGAAGAGCCAATATGTTACTAAATGTTTTTGAAAATAATTGTTCTCCTCCAAAAATGAACAATTCTGTTAAATGATGGGTGGCAACAATATCTACAACCTTGACAGACTATGAATAACAATACGATAAGGTTCGGGGCATCTTACGAAAGGAGCCAGGCGTTTTGAATTCCAAGCAAAAAATTACACATAATGCAGGCTGCAGAATATGTCACAGGCAAAATAAGACGATATTACAAAGTCATCCGGAAACATTTATTATCTAAAACAAATTAATCAGTAAAATTAAAAGCTGAAATATACTAACAAATAAGTCTAACGCCGTTTCGAAACCAGGAATGACATTCTTTCCTGTCTGACACTAATTCTTTCGTGGCGCTAAAGTCGGATTCGATCGTAAAACAGATGTTTACCTACAGATTCCATAATTTAAGTTCAAACAATCCGTGGTCGGACACCTTATACTGGAGATCAGCTCACCGGAAGGCACAACAACAACAACAACAAAAAGTGCAGACCGCCACCGCTTTGCTTCCCATTGTACTCACCTAATAGCCATGCTCTTGGCTTTGAGATGATGCCACCGTTGGTTCATCTCATCCAGGCGTCGCTGGAGCATGACGGCATCGTCCTGAGATGCCAGACTGCTAAGCAGTTTCCTTCCAGTACCGTTGAGCGACGCAAACACATCCTTGTGGCTCTCGATTTCAGACTGCAGATCCTGCAACAACAGATGATAACAATGCAAAAACACTCTTTTATCAATATTTGTATAACATGAATAATTCATCAAATCATATCCTAGAATTAATTTCATACTTTTCATAAACGAATTTGTTGTAAGCCTATGTTACTGAATATTTATGCATGACGATAGGACCCAGCAACGCGGAAATATCGAACAGTGACTAGAACAGAATATATCGAAAACAGTAGGATTTATCACGCTGGCAATCACAATATAATTCCTGGTGTCATGGTAACGTCACATCAGCGTTATCCAGAGACCTCAAACTATTGTGTTGCAGGTCTTTCCTTTCAGTGAAAAGTTCTACATCGTCAAGCGGGTCTCAGGTGTTTCTAAAAATACTATAAAACGCCAAAAGTAACGAACTTCAAGATGACGGCCCACATCTTGAGACGTCTTTCTTCACGAACAACATAAATAAAATTAGTTCACTTATGTGATTCTGAAACCCCATAACTGAAGCTCCTTACTTATTTTTGAACATCCTCAAAAATGTTAGTCAAAGCTCAAGTGGCAACGGAACAATATACGAAAATAACCCAAAAATAAAACTCTATTCATAATGGAAGTTATTTAAAACTTTGTAGCTGTTTAGAGTTTCTGACTCGAGCCTTGGCCGGGACTAAAGTTCTTCGGAGATTTGCTCACTCTTATTTATCACTTGGTACATAAACGATTGTACGGAAACAATTCACGAAATTAGCCCATATGATTTAGTAAATGCTTGTTTTTCATTCGTGCTACAAAAGCCCGATTCACCCTTAGCCTTCTTTAATGGAAGCGTCAAACTCCTTGGACACCGGATAAAAACATATCCGCCATCACGAAAAATAAAAATCTTAAATGAAGATCGAAGTTGGGACATCGTGCTGTCGGCTCGGGTCTGTAGCATTACAGTACATTTCAGTGATGATGGTGGATTTATGATTAGCAGGCCGACTCGGCAGAAACCCTGCCTTGTGCCAATCTGTCCAAAAGAAATCCTTAATAGACTTCCTAGATTCAACCCGGTCCTTAGTGGTAAGAAGCCTCCTAAGTCTTAATGTACTTAAAAATGATGTATATTTAAAGATATACACAGGAAATAATACATAACCTCTGCATGTTGTGTACCCTAATATTCACGGGCACCGCTGATTAGATCTGTGAACAGGAGGACTTAAGAGTTTGTGAGTAATACAAGGGCAGCAAGATGAACGACGAAGCA